CTTAAAATACCAATTTATATACCCCAATCGGGCCAACTTCCACATCGGTTAAATCGGTCCGTCTCATCCACACCTCACTGCCTGATGCACCTACACTGAACCCACACTTAAAAGCACAAAACCACCCACACCTCCACCGGCCCAAATCTCCATATTTCCCAAAAAATCATCAAAAAACCACCACAGAAACCACCCCCATTATCCCCTCTGTACCGGCTCGGCAATTGTCCCCAACGGTGTGGTCAGCGTTCCTGCAGTATACCATCACCACTTTCCTACTACTACTACTACTTCTCCAGAAAACCCGGATTCGGCCCCCTACAACGCAGCGAGATGTCGGCGCTTCCGTCACGTGCGCACGAAAACAACAACACGGCTCAGCTAGCCGCCCAATTCAACGAATTCTACCTCAGCATCACCCTGCCTGAGGTGTCGCAGATAGGGAACTACAAGATCGTGGAGGAGATAGGCGAGGGTGCTTTTGGCAAAGTGTACTTGGCTCGCCACGTCTTGTTGAACGTCAATGTCGTGCTCAAATGCGGCCTCTTGGACGACCCGAACATCGTCAGGGAAATCTACTACCACCAGCAGCTCAAGAACAAGAACATTGTCAAGTTGTACGAGGTGATCAAAACGGAGCTGCACATCTGGATGGCGCTCGAGTACTGTGAAGGCGGAGAGCTATTCTACTACATCTACGAAAACCGCCGTTTGGACATCGAGGTGTGCAGAAACTTGTTCTACCAGATAGCCACGGGCATCAAGTACGTGCACTCGTTGAACTTGGCCCACAGAGACCTCAAGTTGGAGAACATCTTGTTGGCGGACAAGCGGAAGCTGATTGTCAAATTGACCGATTTCGGCTTTGTCCGCGAGTTCAATCCCTACAAGAGGCTGCTCTTGTCCACTGTGTGTGGCACCACCGCCTATATGGCGCCGGAGATGCTCAAAACAGAGAAATATTCCGGTTTTGCCGTGGACATTTGGTCAATGGGTGTCATTCTCTACGCCATGGTGTACGGCGAGCTACCGTTTGACGACGATGATGAAATGCAGATAAAGCTCAAGATCGTCAATGACGACCCCATTGTACGAACAGAGAACGTCGACCCTTGCGTGGTCGAGCTCATACGAAAAATGTTGAACAAAGACCCCGCCGCCCGGCCCAGCATCTCCGAGATCCTCAACTCGTCCTTCATTATCGACCTCACCAACGAGCATCTGGAGCGCAGAAACTCCTCCTTCAACGACGCCGAGTCCATCATTTCCATCAACCAGCATTACCGCCAGAACAAGGTCCCCTTCCAGACAAAGATTGAGCGTGAGCTTTTGAAACGCCTTGAAAAGCTCAACATTGACACCGACCTTCTTCAAGCACTGGTCCTCCAGGGCCACACCAACACGCTCACTGCATTTTACGAACTCGGACTCACGCGAGAGTTTAAAAAGAAACGATACAAGCATAAGCGGAGGCGGTACTACGAGGCAAAGCGGCAGATCAAAAAGTCTAGGAAGAGAGTCCGTAGTGCACTTTCGCTTCCGGACCAGAACTCGGGCACGCAGCCTCTTGAAAAGATCATTTCCACATTGAGCATCAACTCCAACCGAGTGAACCCCGATCAGGCCAGCGTCTCACGACGGTCCACGGAGGAGTATAGAAAACTGAACCCTAGGGCCTCTTACAACAAACGGCTCTCTCGAAGACCCCTGGATGCCCTGACCAGTCAGATACCACAGACGCCTGTATCTGTTGGAAACGACAGTTCTTTCCAAACAACGGGTCGTATTCATCGGCAGGTATCCTTCACCCCAGACGATAGAAGATCCACCTTCAGCTACCAAGCCTCGAATGATCAGCAGATGGGCAAGGGTAAGAAGATTCTCAACAAACTTCAGTTCTGGAAGAAGGGCCAAAAGGACAAGGACGATGGAAGCAACTTGACACCTTCGGCGGACCAAAGCGATGGAGATCCAGGAATCTTAGAGCTCAACATTCCCAACAAGCATGTTCCTGACGGCACGCAGGCGATGCCTCGGACTTCTAACAGCCCTCCTAGGACTGTCGAGAAAGATGGAACAGGTGTGGATCCTCTCGCTACAACTGAGGACAATGGCACATACCAGCCTGATAACGAGATCCAACTCCAAGGTCCCGCTGAGATTCAGATGTTACACGAATTGGGTCATCATCGCCAGGCCTCGAGCCAAACGTCCCATACCAATAATACTGGATCTTCCTTAGGAGAAGCTGCCGATAGGACGACCAACTCACTAAACCACGATAGCATCTTATCGTCCGGCAGAAGACAGAGACCAGAGTCTATGGTCTCACAAATCAGTCAGTTCTCGCAACTGAGCCAGCCATATCCCATGTCAGAGTCTGAACTCGAGATGATGGAGGGCACGGACATGGACGAAGATTATTACGATGATGATGGAATCTACGATCTGTCGATAAACAACTCCCAGCAAGATCTCTTGCACGGTAAGCTTCATTCGTCAAGCATGACGCCGTCAACTTCCACAAACCTGAAGAAAAAGCGGCCTTCCACCAGCAGAATGGCTTCCGATACACTGATCATGACTACAAGCACACAGGCCACCGGCCAGCAGGGTCGTAGTAAGAAGCACTCGCTATCCCAGGTTTCCAGTAACTCGTCGGACGATAGTGAACTGAGAACAAAGTTCACAGAAAACTCTTACTTCGCTGATAGACCGCTGCTGCCCCGTCTGAAGCAGACGTTTTTCAGAAACGGAGCACACCCTTCGCTCAGAGGACCTCGTCAAACATTCAAGCTTCCGCCTTCTCCTGGCGTACATACACCAGCACCTGTTACGCCTATTCCACATAACGGCATGGGCCGGTCTCCATCACCGCCAATTTTCAAGAAGTTCAATACCATGAGCGGCGTCGTCAAGCCCGTGAAGAATATCTTGGATCCAAAGAAGTCTGACAATGCTCAGAACAAGTGGCTGGCGAACGGAGACCAGTCTATTGGTGATCAGCGATGGAGACACGATACTGGGGCTCCCTCGAGAATATACGAGAGGCAGGCCATTATCACGGAGGAGGATGAAGAAGAAGATGGAACTTAGCGACGTGTCGACAGACTACGGAGTAAGTGTCTTCTTTGCGTCCTCAATGGGGAAGCTATGCGTGAGGATGGGACATGAAGTCACTGCTCAAGTTCTACCAATCACGAATTGAATGGCCAAAGTCACAAGAGCCAAAGACCAAGACGCACAAGTTTACAATATGTTGATACGGTCATATCGCATGAATTGGCTCGAGGTTGATGCTGTTCGGAGTACCAGGTAACACTACTCCTCGAGTCAGAGACCAGCAACCCCTTAAGTCCCATCACCTGGACCACCAAGCCCAAAACGCAACACTCGCATGACATACGCTCCAATACTAGAAAATCTACGTTTTCAAAATTCACCAAATCCTCAATCCACCTTCTCTCATTGTCTCTACTACTGGTCCATCGCACCTCGATGGCTGCGAAATCGAGAAAACCGACCCTACAACCTGACCACAAGGCCCCAATAAAAACGACCAAAACGTTATTTCAATACCAATAAAAACACTCTCTACCACCCTCGATTCACTAAAAAAATTAAACCACCCAACCCGAAACACCTCCGTCCGGGACCCTCGTCGGTGCACACACGACCAGAAAAAGTCGCTGAAAAAACGCAGGCATCAGACTCCAACTCAACCCGTACAAGCCATGGCCTCCGTTATTGTCGTTGAAAACGAGATCAAGGACTCTGTCGAGGAGTTCGCCCAGATCATCAACGCGGTCCAGCAAAACAACACTTTTCTGGATGCGTTGAAAGCCCACTTTGACGCCGTTGGACGCATCTCCAACAAGGAAGCGTTAGCCAACGAGATCTGGACCGTGGCCAAGCCAGAGATCTTGACCAAATTGCCCGACAGAGAGTTCGAGCCTGTGTTCTACCTTCTTGCCTACCTCACGCTGGAGTTGAAGCAGAAGCTGTTTGAGACGCTTTTGCAGAAGGACGGTGAGTTGATCAAGCTCCTAATTGCCTCCACGCCAGCCCAGAAACCCCTGTTGAGAGACAGACGCTCGCTCAAGCCCACCACCGTCTTGTCGGTGTTGAACACGTTTTTCAACTTCTTGCCTGCCCTGAGCGCCACGAGGGTCTACTTCATCGAGTTGATCTTGAAGATCGTCACCGACACAGACATTGACTTTGCATTGATCCAGAGCTCCATCGGCGGCTCCTTGGTCCTGTGGCTTGCCGCTGCCGGTGCCCTGGACGCCCAGATCAAGAGCATTTTCTGGCAGTTCGTTGCCTTGGACAAGCAGTATACGTTAGAGTCCTTGCACTTGATCAAGAAGTTCACCTCCCAGCACCCACTTTCTTTGGACGAGCTCCACAAATTGATTGCTTTCGCCTTGGCATCTTCTGTTGTGGACGTGACCTTCTTGGTGAACAACAACGTGGCCCAGGCCTTGAAAGAACATGCCTCTGACGAGCAGGTGAGCATCTTCGACAAGTACACCAAGGGAGAGCTCATCAGCGCTGTTCCTTCGTCGATCTCCAGCACTGTTGTTGCCAAATCCAAGATTCTCGCCTTGACGAGGTTCTTTGTCGAGAGCGACAATGCCGGCAAGAACGCCTTCAAATACAGCGACATCCCCAACGAGCTAGCCGCCTCGCAGGCTGAGTTCGAGAAGTTGTTGATCGACTCGATCAAGGCTGGCGTTATCGAGGGCAAAATGAACCAGGTGGACCAGACTTTCAACTTGGTGAGAGCAAACAGAATCGTTTTGGCTGGCGACAAGCAGCAGCTTGCACAGGACTTGAACACGGTGAAAAAGGCATTGCTGGAGTGGAGACACTCGTTGCACAACATCAACGAGATTGTTCGTGACGCCAAGGACAACATTGTCAACAACAACCTGGGCAATTAATGGATGGGGTCTTTGTAGAATCTATACAACAGGAAATTAGTGTAATAAATAGCATCAGTCTCTCTCGCCTTCCAACACGGCTAGGAACCCGCCCACCAAGTGCAACGACCCACACACAAAAGCGTCCACGTGGTGGTCGTCGTTGGTCAAGCTCTTGATGAAGTTGAGACTCGTTTCGATATTAGGGAAAATGTGTTTCCGTGACGTCTGCGCCGTGCCCTTTTCCAAGGCGGCCCACTTCTCCGCCAACTCCTTCTGGATCACCAACTTGTCCACCTGCTCCTTGGAGTTGTTGAGCGAGACAAGGTCGCTGTTGTAGCTTCCGTCGGACCAGGTGATGTTGGTGGTGAAAATGACATGGTCAAACTTCACATTGTTTTCGGAGAGGTTTTCGTGGAGCTTGGCAAGAAGCTCGCCGGCGTTTTCTCTCGACTGCTGGTTGAACAAAAGGATTCTGGGGGCTCCAGGCCGCTGTTTCTGCTTGGTGATGCTCTGCGTAAACCACTTCAGCGCCACGTGAATCGACTCTAGCGTGTGGGCGCCGTCAATGTACCAAGTGATGTTTTCGTAGCCGTCCTGGTTCGTGAGCTTTTGGCAACGGCCGTCCCAGCGGGTGTTTTCAAGGCCCTGGATGAACTTGTCTGGCAAGGAAGAGTCGCTCCAGTTGGGCAACTCGGCGGCAGGCACTCCAAGCTTCCGGAGGTGGATGTCTGCCAATTTCACGGCCACAGCGGCGTTCTGGCGCTGGAAGTCGCCCGCAAGACCGAGTTTGATATCGGTGGGGACGATCGAGGAGTCCACGATCTCAAACAGCGAAACGCCAACCTCGTCGGCGACTTCCTTGACGGTGCTGATCAGATCGGGGAACTCAGTCTGCTCGGAAACAACCGCAGGACAGCCCTGCTTGAAAATACCTGCCTTGTTCCACGCAATCGACTCTATGGTGTTGCCCAACATGAAGGTATGGTCGATTCCCAAAGAAGTAACGCCGGCGACGGTGGGGTGCTGGACGACATTGGTCGAGTCGTAGCGGCCACCCACGCCCACCTCGTAAATAGCAGTGTCCACGCCTTCAGACATGAAAACATGGAACGAAAGCACCGTCAAGTACTTGAAGTACATGGGCTTGACGGTATCCGAAGGCTGCAACAGCGGGAACTCCTCGGGCAGCGACGTGGTGGTCGAAAGACGGTCCCACACTTCGTAAAAGTACTTTGTAAACTTCTGTTCCGTGATCGGCTGGCCGTCGATTCTGATTCTCTCTCTCACCGACTTGAGGTGCGGGCTGGTGAAGAGCCCAATCTTCAGCAAGGGTCCCCCCTTGTACTGTCTGAGCACAGAGTCCACAAAAGCACACGTCAGGCCCTTTCCCTTGGTACCAGTAACGTGCACCACATTCAAACGGTCAAACTCCACTGGCTTGTAGCCCAATCTTCGGATGTACTCGTAGACCTCGGCAATGGAGAGCTCGGAGCGCTGTTTGGGCAGAAAGTCCTTTTGCAGCTTGAGGGCTTCTATGGAGGCGTAGTTCAGCTGAAGGCTGTTGAGCGCCGCAATGGCGTCTTTGTAGGTTCGGTTAGACATGGAGGGCAATCGCATGAGGTGAGGATTTGATATCTTCGCACTGGATGTAGCCACGCTTAAAGGTGGGAGAAGGAAACGGGGAGGGGAATTACGAGGGAGTTTGTGGGGGTGGGGGAGGATTCAGGTTTTTTGAGATTTTGGGATTTTGGGGGAATTTTTGATTTTAATGGTGTTTTGGGTTTTATGGGTGGTGCTTTATGGTCGTTTGGTATTTATATCCTGTGCTCAGGTGTGGATAGAACCGCACAAAATAGGTGTGATCGTAAAGTGAGCTATTCATGGAAATGAGGGACTTCTTTTTTTTTTTTTTCTTTTTAAGAATTGATGAAATTGGGGATTTAAGTGAAGCAATGCAAATTGGACGACAATGTCCTATTGAAAAGGCACTCGAAGAATGGTCCTTTGAATGGAACACCACTTCCAGCTGCCCCACAAGAACACTCACTTACATTTCAATTGACAAAAAAAAGAATGCAATCCCAAAATCTCTTCTTTGAAAGTCTCCAAAAATTGACTAAAACACTTTCCCCCGCCTCCCTGCTATATCTGGCTTCTTCCCTACTCCGGATTCTGTTCCAACGGTCCCTGATCTAGCGTGCTCATTCTGCAGTACCTACATGAACCTTGCAGCCGTATAAAAAGCACCCCTTCCTGCCACCCGTCACTGGGTTGTTTACTTTTTCCCATCCTACTCTTTTCTCTCATAAGCGGGTTTCTAGGATGTCATCCAACTCTTCTTCACAACCAAATCCCGATGATGAGCAACCCCTGGTCGACAGTAGCCTGGCTGCAAAAAAAATAGTGAAATCCGCTCAAAACATCCTTAATAAGAACAAGGCCAAGAAAGATTCCAGATCTGATTCGGCTTCCGAGGGGAGGATGGGGAAGGCTAAATCAGAAAGCGGCGATGATAGTTGCCAAAACGAAGAGTTGATAAAAACAGACGAACATTTAGGGAACCCCGAGTCCAGCCATGGGAAGCAGGCAACAGGAATGGAAGATCAACATGGCACCAAATCAGCGTCGACAAGCACTGAAGAGCCTCCAAGGAACCAGAGGGACACACCTGAAGAGTTTTCAGAGAGCCAGAGCGACACGAATACAAGGCGCCAAAGGGATCAGGACCGAACAGAGCGTCAACCAGGTAATCCAATAGTTGATCCAACAGGGGATCCAACAGGGGATCCAACAGGGGATCCAACAGCGGATCCAACAGGGGATCCACCAGTTACTACAAACCAGAACCACCCAAATGCAAGGCGCGAAGAGAACCACAACGAGCGAGCTGCAGAGGTGGAAAGATTCATGATCAAATGGATTATCTGGCCCTTTCTGGCTCTGTTCCTTGGTTTTTTTCTAGCAATTCCTCTCTACTTCTTTCATCAACACAGCTTGTCGGTAAGCGATGGAGATAAGCAAGCAATTGGAGGAGCTATGGCTCTTCAAGTTGTTGCGTGGATATTAGCTTTTCTTTGGCAGTTGGCTCACACATACTTCTTTGGCCCAGCTTATGGGTATGCAGCTTTCGTTATTCAAGGTACCGCAGCTCTTGCCGTCGTGGCATATATGGCCTATGACTTTGGTGTCACTGGCACGGGCCTCCCTATCGTAAATTCGGTGCTCATCTTTGAGCTTTTCATTCAAGCCCTCTGGAATGCCAAGGAGAATCGTCGCTTCAATCATGACGCCAGAGTTGCAAGACAGGATATTGAGCTTGGCCACTTGGGAGCTAATGAGATTCGCCCCACCGCTGCCCCACAAAACCCCCAGCCATAGCAGAACGGGTTATCATTCCGGCCATCACATTCTATGACGGGTAAGCAGATTCCCCAAAGAGTAGTTCATCCCAAAACTTGCAAAGCAAGTTAACCTGTCTCGAACTTGGCCCCTCAATGGCTCGGCCACGCTTCCTTATCTGAATTCTGTCGGCGAGGAGCACATCGAAATGAATCTCAAAGCTAATGTGATCTCAATTCAATAATTTATATCTATATATGCCTAATTAATGTTGTTTGTGTTTGTTGCTGTCAAGCTTTAGGCTTCACTTTTACAAGAGCCTGGCGATATGTGCTTTCTTGCACATGTTCAATATCACTGATTTACATACGACTATCGCTCAAGCTTAGTGATGGATGGCTGGTATTTGGGAGGATCCATAAATAGTTCTTTGTGGGGTTCTATCAGGACTGGAGCGGGAATAAAGTAGACTAGCTTCTTCGAGGTTGACCCGTTGTAGATAATTGTCACCTTCACTCGAAACACATATTCCCTATGTAACGATGCTGAGTATAGTGTGGGCTCAATTGCTGGAATGATACAGTGCAAAACCAGGGAAGGAATTTCATACTCAGTACCTTGGTCCACCACTCTCACTTTTTCTAACTCGACTTGAGACAATCTTGAAAGTTTATCTGATTTCAAAACAAGAGTCTTTTCTTCAAGAATCCAGTCTCCGTCGTTCGGCAGAAGTGTTTTTTCGATAATTTTTATAGTGACTTTTTTGAGGATTGGCGGTTCCCGAACCTCCTTGTAACAGACCACGAAAAGCTGAAACATCTCTTCGAACGCCATTCCCGGAGATATATGCACTTTTATGAGCTTCAGCTGAGCGAAAGAGTACATATTTTCTGTGAGCTTCACATCTGAAGCAATGAGTGGTGTGAAGAGCATCAAGTCTGGCGAACGACTAAGGTGAAGGTTTGCTGCAACTGGTTTTACCGAAAGTCCGCTCAGAGTTTGTACAATGGCGTTTTCACAGTCTGTGATGGTCTGGCGCTGAAGCTTTAACTTCGATTTTTTAGTCCGAGTTATTGCGTTGACGGACAATGATATCGTTGTGACCGTGACAACCGAGTCATTGTATAACAAGCTGCATGAGTAGTACTTTAAAAGACCAGTTGTAATATTCCGTAGTCTCCTTGCTGAAAATTCATTCCCTTTTTGCAATGCAAGAGGAGACATGGGAGCCGAATCAACAAACACCAAATCTTGTTGTTTTCTATTGACAACTCCCATGAGGCTCTTTCCATTGCCCTTATCATTAATTGACATCATAAGTGGGACCAGAGCTCTGAAGGTTGAGCTGGAGCCATTATCGTCGCATCGAAGGCTGACCAGAGCCTTGATGAGATAACCTCTCCGAAGATGTTCAGACGCGAATGTGGGCCCTAAATCGGGAAGCACGCAATCCAATAGCTCGTTTGGAATCACCCATGATACTCGTCCCCAATGCTGTTGTGAGTCTTGCGCTGTCAATAAGAAGTGACATGATTTTTCAGATAAACTTTGCGTCCGTGTAAATTCTTGCAAATCAAAATCAGAATTGAGAGGAATCTGGCATGAGATTACCTCCTTAATAGTGAGTTTCACTTTAGTAATTATCATGCTGGCGGATGAGCCAGAAAATGAAGATTTGGGAAGGGACAAGCGAAGCTCAAATGTGTTCGACAAATCAAGCATGGGATAGCCGTAGAGCTGTCTACCCAGATAGAGTGGAAAACACTCTCGGATAAAACTTAGTTTACCATCCAATGAGGCGTCTTCATCATCAGCATGCAAAGGTGAGCTGCGGGTGGTGCTTGAATTGCCTGTATCATTAACCTGATACGGTAAGATGATCCCGGAATGGAGAATGGTCTGCTTGTCCCGTACTCGTATACAGTTACAGAAAAAAAAACATTCTTTTGATCCATTTTCAACGAACCGAGCGTTGAAATATTGGTCTGGGTGATGCGCTTCACTACCTCGCATTCTTGAAAAGACAAGCCGACAAGCTCCGTCTTCGAGATTCGGCCCCGTCCCCAAATCAAAGATACCCTCACGTCGCAAAAACCGGTCAAAGCACTTGGAATAATCCAAATCGCTTTCAGATTCGTCCAGCTTGGGAAGTGTTTGCACTTTGACGTCAGTAACGGTCCAGGCTGCACCACCTAAGAAAACTGTTGCAATATTGTGACCAATGTACCGATTGGGGTCTTTTGCAAGCATATCTGAGACGACCTTTTCGACCTCATACTGTCTATCTGCTCTCCTTATGAATAGAACGCTTTTCATTCCACAAGAGCTTAATCTTTGGGAGCCATGTCGAGGAGCCGCCTAATTTATAAGGGTGCCCGTCACATCAGGATTACCCTCTGTGGACATTTTTCGAATTACCGTGTGGAGAATATTACAGGTTATTTTCTGAAGTTCGGTCATGAGTATCGCTGGAAGAGGTAGTGTCCCTTTTTTAATATTTGGAGGAACTAGGGGTTTTTAGTTTCATTTCTTTCAAAAGGTGTTTTGATTGTGGCATGTCCAGGCAGATCACCAAGCTGGAGTTCATTTCGTCATGCTGAACGATTTCATCGATGGTATTCTAGGTCGCATCTTCCTCTCTTCCATGTTCTAAAAAGTCAGATCTTTCTAGAAATTATTGAATAAAGCTCAAAAATTTGTCATATGTTATGAATTTGAAAACACGGCATTTTGGGGCTTTCCCTTGCATCAAGCGATTTTGCTCACCCTACCTTGCACCTTCTTCTTTGGATGTCTGGTACTTGAAAAGTGTCACTTGAACTCAGATTCTCCACAATAAGGGTAGCAAAAGTCATGGATTTTGGAAACAGAGCTGAAGCTTTTGTCGCCATGATTCCTTTCATTGGACGCCAGAAAGATACAGCATCATATTTAAGGACTTGATAGTTTTGCACGTTATTAGCCGTTCATAAGGACCGATAGTGTAGATTTTAGCGGATAGGGACGATACCACCGGTAAAACTTCAATTGCCTGAAACTAACATCATATGAGATGACCGTCATCAGGTGTATGAAGCTGGTCTCTTGTGGTGTTCCCTGTTAGATTATTCTACGAAGAGCGACCTCAAGAGTCATTCCCCATACATAAATGTGACAAAATTCTAAAAAAGTATGCAATATCAAAATCTCTTCACAAGTATCCATATCCTGTGGCCACAAAGTCGTAACAATTCTTTCATGCACCGATTCTAATCGTCTCACCGCAACCTTACATCCGTTATGAGCCACAGTTGCATTCATAATTAGGGATCATCTAGATGTTTTCCAAAAATTTATCCTCATCTTAGTAAAAAATGATTTAGACCACCTTCGAAAAATGCAGTAGACCTCAGGGTGTACCGCCACACTGGTCTCTCATTTGCACCCAATCGGGAGATTCCGGTAGGCCACAGTGAGTGCGAATGAGTCAATCCGAGACACGGCCGGTCAGGGCTGTGACGATCGCGCCACAGAGACATCGTATACATTTTCTAAAACTACCATCAGGTTCTATGGACTCTCAGCATCACGCTGATATAATTTTCTTATTTCTACGATCCCAGGCCGTAGAGGAAATGGGAGAATCGTATACGATCACGTGACCGAGCCACTGACTCATCAGCGCGGTGAAACTACTACCGAGATCCTCCCTAAAAACTCATCTACCATCTTCTTCTTTAGTTGGTAACACGCCCCAGCCGCACCATCAAGGTTTAGAAAATCGACGACTTTTTTTAATTATCCTTATCATTCCCCCAAGTTTTATTCAACAGCTCCCCACCATGCATTATTAAACCTGCCACGAGCTATCTACCCTTTTCAACAAAAGCAAGATATTTCGAAAGTTCAACAGAGATCTAGGCTTGCTCCGCGTGTTTCAACCCAACTGACTCCCACTAGTAACTGATACTCGACCATCGTGGCCAATATTCATTGAACGAATCTGTGCCACCATCGAATCCCCCGAATTTGTATGTTTTCAATGGTCACCATTTCTGACAACACCTACTCCAAAGTGCCGTCCCACCTGCCTCGTTTGCACCGGAAATCCGGTTCGGGCCCTCTGCCCGACATGGCGCCTCCAGAGGGTGCCTCATCCAACGCCACCGAATCTTTCACTGAGGCGTTTCTTCGTGCTTCCAGACCTCAATACCAGCTCCCCACACCTAGTGCCTCTGTCACCACTTCTATGGCCGAGACAAAGGAGGAGAGCAATGAGAAGGTCGAGGAAATCCGCCTTATGGATTTCATTGACGTGCCTTCCTTAGTGTCTGACGACGAAGAGGAAGACTCTGAGGCCGAAAGCCACCACTCTTCTAAGGTTGCCACCCAGTTTCCCAGACCAACTGCCAAACTGCCTCCAGCACTGGCTGCTGCAGAGGTTGTGAAGCGGTCGCTTAAAGAGGAAGCGATTCCGGAGGCTGAACCAGAAGCAAAAGAACCCGAGAAAGAAGAAGAATCCAAGCTGACAATATCTGAAGCTCAGTTTCGCTCGGAAAGGTCCCAACTTATGAAAATTGCCGTCAAGTATGTGGCGATGAAAATCACCAACTCGTTCCCACCCGAGTCCGCTCGAAAGATCGACCCTACAGAGATGCCCTTGGACACATTTCTCCTAATCCTCACAAGCCGCTTGCAACTCACTTTGCCGCTATTTATGAAGGGTATTATTTACTTGTTCAGATACATGGACATTATCTACCTTTTGCGGTACTTGAATCAGTCGAACAACTTTCTCAACTACACAGAGATGGGATTCGGCCTCAAGAAGCTTATCGTTGGCTGTTTCAAGTTGACGCTAGCCAGAGAGAGAATTGGCAAGGATTGGAGTGGCGTCACGGGCTTGGCTAATTCTGAAATCAACACCATCGTCAAGACAGTTGTGAAGCGCTTGAACGGCAAGCTAGCCATCAAGAACGTCGAGCTTCTCAGATTGAAGTCCGAGATTTACCGCTTTGTCAAGATGGTCGTTAAAGAAACCAACTAAGGTCCCGTTTACGACTTTTCATCTCTGCAAGGAACGAATTCTGAGTAAGTCAGATTCAGCATCGAGAGATTCAGTTTCTTTTTATGGCAACTACTTTGACGTTTACTCAATGATGTCTTCTACATTTACTCAACATGTCAGTGCCATCTTTACAGAAGCTCTCCCGCAGAACTGATTTCGGAGAACGATCTGGTTTGCATCGATCTATGCAACTTTCAGGCGTCCTAGACGAGCGACTTACGACATTGGCAAAATGTCCGGTGTACGGGTGCTACTAGGCCTCCGGACTCTTACTTACCGTTCCGTGTATATTAGCGCCAGACCTGGCGAAATCACTAAGCTTTCTAGCGCGTAGACGTCATGGCAATTTCGGTGAGTCACAGGATCGAGCCTACATCGCGGGCCGATGAGCCTGCGGCCAATGAGTTGCTCCTAGTAGTCATCTGTCACGTGATCTCACGGAATCCTCCACCTTTACCGAGACCACCAGCCAAGCTAGAATAGGGGCATTCACCAATGATGTTAAAATACATATGTTTATGATAAGAGAGCTTCGTAGAGGCAAAATTCAAAAGGTTTTATGATGTTTGTGGAATACTTACACTGATCTGGCTATCTGCTCTGTCTCATGAATAGTGCATATATCTACACCGCACTTGGTATACAGATAGCTGTGTTGAAGGCACCACAATTATATATTGAATAGCGTATTCAAATAAAAAAACCTATATCTACTTATTTCAACACTGCAATATAATTCTGATCACCCCAATATAATTGACTTGTTTCCAGCTCCTGACTCACATCTCCACAGATTACCGTATTTAAGGTGAAAAGTCGTGCCGCTACCAAAACACAGCGGGCGCGCGGAACTGCCTTCTATCCATGTGCTATCGCAATGACTCATAGAAAAGGCACTTGTTTAAAAGCACCACAATCTGCACATTTTTATGATATATGAATTTTGATCGATTTCTTCAAGCACAATCTTGAATATTCAGGCTTTGCCGTGCCTTTTCCTCGCGTATTGGGAAAAAAACCTAGACCCCTTGCTGACTCATTTCTTCACGCAACGGCACTATCAGCTCCAGACCTGCACACAGACCCCACCCACCGCATTATCTATTACTCAGTTCCCCATAGTTAAGCCGCGGCGGCGGCTAATCAACTATGCACAGAAAAAAAAAGCAAAATGTCGTACAAATTTTTCACCCTATATAAACTACAAAAGTTTCTCACACTTTTTTTTCTCTCTATATTTCATCGAACTTTTTAACCATGTCTATGCCCAATCCTTACGGCCCCAATCCTCACGACTACCTCTCCAACGTGAACAAGTTCGAGGTGATTGAATCCACCTTGCGTGAAGGTGAGCAGTTTGCCAATGCCTTCTTCACCACGGAAAAGAAGATTGAAATCGCCAAGGCTCTTGATGACTTTGGTGTCGACTACATCGAGTTGACCTCGCCTGTCGCTTCCGAGCAGTCCAGAAAGGACTGTGAGGCTATTTGCAAGTTGGGCTTGAAGGCCAAGATTTTGACCCACATTCGTTGTCATATGGACGATGCCAGAGTCGCTGTGGAGACCGGTGTGGACGGTGTTGATGTCGTTATCGGTACTTCTCAGTTCTTGAGACAGTACTCGCACGGTAAGGACATGAACTACATTGCTCAGAGTGCCATTGAGGTGATTGAGTTTGTCAAGTCCAAGGGCATCGAGATCAGATTCTCCTCTGAGGACTCCTTCAGATCCGACATTGTGGACCTTTTGAACATCTACAAGACCGTCGACAAGATCGGTGTCAACAGAGTTGGTATTGCCGACACTGTGGGATGTGCCAACCCTAGACAGGTTTACGAGCTCGTCAAGACGTTGAAGTCTGTTGTTTCCTGTGACATTGAGTGCCACTTCCACAACGACACTGGCTGTGCCATTGCCAACGCCTACACCGCCTTGGAGGCCGGTGCCAAGTTGATCGATGTCTCTGTTTTGGGTATCGGTGAGAGAAACGGTATCACGCCGCTCGGTGCCCTTATGGCCCGTATGATTACTGCCGACAGAGAGTACGTTCTTGGAAAGTACAAGTTGCACAAGCTCAGAGACTTGGAGAACCTTGTTGCTGACGCTGTTCAGGTGAACATTCCTTTCAACAACCCCATCACTGGTTTCTGTGCTTTCACCCACAAGGCCGGTATCCACGCCAAGGCCATTCTTGCCAACCCTTCGACTTACGAGATCTTGAACCCATCCGACTTTGGTCTCACGAGGTATATCCATTTCGCTAACCGTTTGACCGGCTGGAACGCCATCAAGCTGAGAGTGGACCAGTTGAACTTGAACCTCACCGACGACCAGTGTAAGGAGGTGACTCACAAGATCAAGTTGTTGGGTGACGTGAGACAGTTGAACATCGACGATGTGGACTCCATCATCAAGGACTTCCACAACGAGTTGGGCACGCCTCAGTTGAAGCCATCCAACGGCACCAACGGCCATGCTGTGCCTGAATTGGAGGCTGCTGAAGCTGACGCTGAGCCAGCCGCCAAGAAACAGAAATCGGAGTAAAAAGTTACACATTGGCTCTTTTTTTCCGGTTCCCTGTTCGCTTACGATGATCACGACAAACAAAAAAGTTGAGTCTGGCTCTGGCCAGTTGTACTATAGCGCTTGGGACTTTGCATAACATAAACCTAAAACAAAAAACAAAAAAAAAAGACATCTTGAGAATGGAGCAATCCATTGCTATTTATTTAGTTCTTCAAGAGCCTATGTTAAAAAAGCTGTTAATTGTAGTATTGTAGGTTGGAGCTTAGTGGAACAACGCTGTAGATACCCATTTCAGTTATCTTCGTCAAGGCTAAGTCTAGAGATTCACATGAAAAATTGATCGAATCGTATACTGTGACAAACTTAGTTTCATAAGATATCCATGAGAGTAATGTTCACGCCTAGCCCTTAAAACCAATGAAAGATCGAGCTTTTTGAATTGTTGCAAAAGTAGTGACTTGAAAATTATCATACTGATTAGCACTGGTAAGGCTAGTACTGTGAACGCACATCTCAGTATTAACCCCACAACATTATGATGATAATTGCCCCCAAAGCGACAAAAGACCGCAATGATGAAATCGAGCCCAACTGTAGAAAATAAATCGAAAGTTTAAACCTCAAGATATTGGCGCTTCATGGATAATTCACCAAGCTTCTTCACTACGCTTGATGGCTGCGAAAAGGCTAAATCAATGCCACCACCGAATCCACCTTCCCACACCATTCCACAAACCCATTTTTTCCAATTCTCTTCTATCAACCCAAAAACTTTCACCATTCAATCAAAACACCGCTCCACACCGCTCCACACCGCAAAGGCTGTGGATGTCCGGTTCGGAGGCTCACGTGAGACATACCGACACAGATCGCTTCGAACCTTCTCGATCAACGTAACCACATCTTCATCATGGCCAAGAAAGGAGGCGAGAATACCAAGAAGGCAGCGGGTAACGCCAAAAAAGCAGAAAACGCCAACAAGAAAAAGCAGGCTGCTTTTGACGCTGCCGAGGCCGAAGAGGCTTCCAAGTGGGACGAAGGTTCTAAGAAGGGCAACAAGAAGAAGGAGGATGCCCAGTTCAAAAAGGAAGAAGCTGCACGTAAGAAGGCAGAGCGTGATGCCCTTTTGGCTGCTGAAGAATCGGCTCTTCCTGCCAAAGGTCAGAAGGATAAGCAGAGAGGTGCTGCTAAAGTTGCAGCCAGAAGAACAGGCAAGATCGACGATTTCCTTGATTTCAACAGCGACAAGCCCGAGCTCAGTGCTTCTGGCATCGACAGTGCCTTGGAGGCGTTGTCATTGACCGGAAAGGACGGTGGTGTGGCTGCTAAGGACATCGAAAGACACCCTGAGAGAAGAGTCAAGGCTGCGTATGCTGCCTACGAGGAGCGCCGTTTGCCTGAGGTCAAGAAGGAGAACCCTGGATTGCGCCAGCAGCAGATGAAGCAATTGATCTTCAAGGAGTTCCAGAAGTCGCCTGAGAACCCGATGAACCAGGCCAACCAGGTGTCGTACAACGCCACCACGGACGACGTTTCGGCCAAGAAGCAGGAGTTGAAGGCGTCCAAGGAGAAGAAGTTTGCCTAGAGGTAATTGATGTGAATACGAAGATAAGAGGGTATTGGTGTAGTGTAGGTGTGGTGGTGGTCCTAGTGGAGGTGTTATGGAGGGGGTGTAGTTAGGTGGATTGACAGTGTTGGACATTTATATCGGAAGGTTGTTTGATGTGTTTGTTCGGCGGCATTTATGATATGTGGAGATATCATTGTTGTTTGAAGAGTTGGATGGATCTTGCTAAATGAGGAACCAGAATGGCTGCAACACATGGTGAGAATTGCTCAAGACAGGATGCATGCCAGTTGCTTGCAGCGGTAAAGAAGCCTATTTAACCTCAAAACACAATTTCGCTTTCATTCCAAAAGAAGTAACAATTCGTCGCTTTGACGTATTTTTCATAGCGATCTGCAACTATGGCCTAGACATCTGGATCACAGGACCAGCCGTACCACCTACCCCACCAAAACCAGTCAATAGCACTTTTTATCTTTTTTTTACAAAATCCACACCACCACCATCAAAAGCCGAAAACACAAAATCCCACTTCCGTTGATCCTGTTCATCCACCTTGCCCCGTATGGATCTGGTGCCCACAGGCTGCGTGTGAATCGCATCTGCCTTTGCAGCCATAAATGGCTGAGTTTCTTTTGGCACAAGCTGGAGTTCACAGAGACCCGTGCACCGTGCCTTCCGCCACTATATAAGAAACGCAGATCCGCCTGATTTCAATTCTCTTATTTTTTTGGCACCTGGCCAACACGTTGTGGTGCTGTTGGGGACTCAGCGCGCCTGTCAAGTAGTGGGACTCGCTTGGCGCGCAGGGCAGATGTATAAAAGGGCCCGCGCCGCCAGAAAAACATCCACTCGAGGCCATTCAAACCCGTCCAGACACCCGTACACCAGTCCAAACACCCATCGGCGGCTCTACGGCATTGCCATATCAAAACAACTACAGATACTTATAAAATTCCATAAAAGATGTCCCGTTTGGATCGTCTCGTGGTGCTCTTGGAAACAGGCTCCACGCCGTACATCCGGAACACCGCTGCAGACCAGCTATCCGACTTGGCCAAGGGCCATCCAGAGGAGATCATCAGCTTGTTGGGAAGGGTGTACCCGTTTTTGAAAGCTGAAAAATGGGAAACTAGAATTGCGGCCGCCAAGGCCTTTGGCGGTATCGTTGCCCATGCGCCATTGTGGGACCCCAACTCAGAAGAGGCCATTGAGAAGGAAAAGCAATTGCAGCACATCGAGGACGCCAACAACGCCACGCGAAGCTCGGAGCCAAAGGTGAAGCTTGAACAGGACGAGGAATTGAAGAAACTAGACGAAAACTTGCTGACTTTGGTCAAGTTTGAGTCCTGGAACTTGCACGAGCTTCTAAAGTCAGGCAAGAAGCTTCTCGCGTCTGGCGGCGCCGAGTTCGAACCTAAAAAGCCAGCCGTTGGCAAGAATGATGAGACATTGCTCCACAAACTCAAGCAACACAAGACGCTAGTCAAAGAAGAGGAAAATGACAGCCCCAGAGGATCGGTTGTTTCCTCGCCCAGCATCAAGACAGAAGTCAAAGAGGAAGTGAGTAGCCTGACACAGTCTTCCCCTCCCCCACCAGAAGGCGGCAAATCTGCAGCTGCCAGTGCCCGTCTCAAGGCCATGCAGAAGCGCAGAGCCAAGGCCAACGCCAAATCTAGCATCAACAAGAACGCCCCGGTGGACTTGTCCCAGTCATCCATTTCCCGCAAGCTCGTCGAACATGGCGAAGTTGACGGTAATGTCAAAACCGAAGATTCCCCACAATATGATTTGACTTCCCAGCAGGGCGGTTCCAAGTTGGTGATGGAGAGCAAAGCTCCAGAGCTATCACCACTTTTATCGCAGCATGCAAAGGTTGTTGGCCTTGTCTGGCAATTTCAGGGTGTTTACGAATTGCTTCTACACGACTTATTCGACGAGAAGTGGGAAGTGAGACACGGTTCCGCCCTCGGTCTTCGTGAGCTTGTCAGAGTTCATGGTAAAGGTGCTGGTCGAGTCATGCGCAAATCGAGAGCTGAAAATGACGCCAACAATGCTGCTACATTGGAAGATCTTTCCGTGAGACTTTGCACGCTTTTTGCTCTTGATAGGTTCGCCGATTTCGTGAACGATACTGTTGTTGCTCCTGTTAGAGAGTCAGGTGCACAGACACTCGCAGCCTTGTTACTTCATCTAGACGACAGGTCCATTGTGGAAACTTTCCACTGTCTCAAATCGCTCGTGTTCCAGGACAGTCTAGGTCCGGATTCCAGGAAATTCTGGGAGGCGAAGCACGGTGGTATGCTCGGTGTTCGTTACTTTGTGAGTGTCAGAACTGACGTACTTCTTCGTCTGCCTGAATTGTTGGACCTGGTGGTATCCATGGTTTTGCATTGTCTCAAGGAAAGCGAAGATGACGTACAGTCTGTAGCTGCCTTGACCCTTGCGCCAATTGCTGCCGAATTTGTCAAGCAAGGCACAGACGTCATTAAGTCGCTACTTGATGTCGTTTGGGAGTGTCTTTCCAACTTCGAGGACGATTTGTCGGCATCTATTGGTTCGGTAATGGACCTTTTGTCAAAGCTTTGCACGCACAAAGAAGTGATCGAAATCATGCAATCCGAAGCTGCTGCAAATCCAGAAAACTCCTTCGACAACTTGCTACCCAAGCTCTTCCCCTTCCTCAGACACTCAATCACAAACGTTAGAAAAGCTACACTCACCACCCTTTTGGAGTTCTTGTCGATCGAGGATCAATCCACAAAGCTTTGGATCACTTCTAAGTCCATGCGTTTAATCTTACAGAATCTTCTCGTGGAGCAGAACTCCGAGGTATTGAAGCTCTCGGAACAAGTTTACTACAGAATGTTGCACGAGATCCCCAATAACTCATACCTCGAGAAGGTTGACACTTACATCGCCCCATACTTGCATTCAATCATGGCTTTACTCATGACTCCCATTGGCATTGCCAGACATAATTATCATCTCAACACAGGGCTCATTATAAAGCCCTCTGGTGCCACTTTTGAGCCATTACCCCGCCGTGACTCTCCTTCAGAATCGGACATTTTTGAACCTCCTACAAATGGTGAAGTTGCACCTCAACCAGCAAAGAGGGGCCGTAAGAGAAAGACCGAGGAAAAGACGAAAGCTCTCACTCCGATATCTGATGAACTCAAAATCAACATCGATGCGCCAGTTCACAATGGTGATGTCATGTTCGTTGGATTTGACACTTTCATCGCAACGAGAACTGCACTTGCAAAAGCTCTCGGCTCAACTATATCGCTTCTTGAAGATGAAGATGTTCTCAAGAGAACTTTCGAAAGTCTCTTGATATACACAACCTCGCCTCATGCCACTCCACGTCTTTTCACTGCGATCGTGGTAGAAGAGTTTGCTAACGCTTCCAAGAAGAATGAGAAGACTCTTCCAACAGAAACTGCTGAGAAATTCTCTGCAACATTTTTGGAAGCACTCACAGCCCCAGAGAAGGTGCCGTTCTTCCGCGAGCTCGTCCCCAAACTTAAAAGTGTGCGAACTTCGTGTCTTCAGCTCTTCGACGTCTTTGTCACGAATGGAAAACTTTCACACAGTAAGGTTCCACAATTACCTGTTGTTGTCCAAGGCGAGAACGGCTCAGGTCCAGGTGCATTTGGAATCGAGAGTGCGGAGAAGTTATTAGATGAGACTTATCCAAAACTTGTTAAAGCTTTGTCATCTTCATACAAAATCCTGGCGAACCTGGCGCTAGAAGACTCGAAGCACCGTATAAGAGTTGCTTTGGGAGAGGCCAAGCTTGCATTGAGTCAAAGAACGACAAGCATCAATGCGGCTTACGCAGCTGCAATTCTTGCGCTCACTGGTGTTCTGAAGAAACTCAATCCAATTATCAGATCGCTCATGGACAGTGCCAAGCAAGAGGAAACCGAGTTGTTGCAAAAGAGATCCGCCATTTCAATTGCAGCTTTGATCGATGAGCTCAAGAAGATCAAGAAGGTTGGAGCCGCTGACAAGATTTTGAAGAATCTCTGTTCCTTCCTTTGTGTCGACACTTCTGAAGTTCCGGAGTTCGTTCACAATTCAACTTTCAAAGATGCCATTCTCTCTTTGCGGAAGGAGGAAGCTAAGACAGATCCAGCTGATATTGCGGCGCATGAGAAGGCTGTTCATGAGGCTAGAATAAAGAGAAATGGTGCTTTGCTTGCCTTGGATGAGATTATCGAAATCTACAAGGAAAACATTTTTAGCGAGCTTCCTAAATTTAAGGAAATTCTCTTTGGTACTCTTGGCTCCATGGAAACAACAAGTGCGGATGATATGTCTAAGGACAATTCTTTGGGTCAGAGTATTGTTGATGCATTGGGCGTTTTGAGAGCTGTTCTTCCGAAATTGAGCTCATCCCTCTATCCCGAAATCGCAGATCAGATGCCCAGGTTGCTTGCTGGTTTGAAATACGAGTTGAGTGTCTTCCGTTATTCCTCGGCCAAATGTTTTGCTACCATTTGTTCAGTCATGCCAGCGAAAGCATTCCCGTTCTTGGTCCGTAACATCATACCCATGCTCAACAATGCTGGTAATTTCCGTGAGCGTCAAGGTGCTACTGAAGCCATTTACCATGTTTCGAATGCCATGGGAGCCGACATTCTTCCATATATTGTTTTCCTTATTGTGCCTGTTTTAGGTAGAATGAGTGATGCAGACCATGATGTTAGAATCTTGGCCAGTACAACATTTGCCTCCATCATCAAGCTTGTGCCCTTGGAAGCTGGTATACCCGACCCTCCAGACATGCCACAGGACCTTTTAGAAGGCAGGGACAGGGAAAGAGAATTTATTCTGCAAATGATGGACCCCACTAAGATCAAGCCATTTGAGCTTCCTGTCGCTATCAAAGCAACTTTGCGTAAGTATCAGCAGGAAGGTGTCAATTGGCTCGCGTTCTTGAACAAATACCATTTGCATGGCATCTTGTGTGATGATATGGGTTTGGGTAAGACATTGCAGACCATTTGCATTATTGCTTCTGATCATCATATGAGAGCTGAGAAGTTCAAGGAGACACAAGCGGAGGAGTTCAGAAGATTGCCATCATTGATTGTGTGTCCTCCATCTTTGACAGGTCACTGGGAACAGGAAATGAACCAATATGCCGAGTTCATGAATGTTGTCGTTTATGCTGGTGGTCCATCCGTTAGAGCCAACCTTCGGGCGAAGATTCCTGATGCAGATGTTGTTGTGACTTCCTACGATGTTTGTCGTAACGATATCGATGTGATTTCGGGTCACTCCTACAATTATTGCGTGTTGGACGAAGGGCACATCATCAAGAACTCTTTCTCGAAATTGACTAGATCCGTGAAGAGAATCAATGCCGAGCACAGACTTATTTTATCGGGAACTCCGATCCAGAATAACGTCTTGGAGTTGTGGTCTTTGTTTGACTTCTTGATGCCTGGTTTCTTGGGTGTCGAGAAGGTGTTCATCGAGAAGTTTGCCAAGCCTATCGCCGCCAGTCGTAACAGCAAGACTTCATCAAAGGAGCAAGAGGCTGGTGCTTTGGCTCTTGAATCTCTCCACAGGCAAGTTCTTCCCTTCATGCTTCGTCGTTTGAAGGAAGAGGTGTTGTCTGACTTGCCGCCAAAGATTATTCAAGATTATTACTGTGAGCTTTCGGACTTGCAGAAGAAACTCTACAAGGAGTTCGCCAAGAAGCAGAAGTCTGTCGTTAAGGACGAGGTGACCAAGGAGGACGAACCTATGGAACCTTCGACTGAACCACCCAAGACACATATCTTCCAGGCATTGCAGTATATGAGGAAGTTGTGCAACCACCCTGCTTTAGTGATCACTCCAAATCATCCACAGGCGGCTGAAGTTGCGAGCTATTTGGCAAGCAAGAAATCTGATCTCAAGAGCATCGAGCATGCGCCTAAGTTGAAGTCATTGAAGAATTTGTTGCTTGAGTGTGGAATTGGAACTGGCGACAGTGAATACCTTAACTCCAAGGGCAAGAGCAAGCAGAAGCAATTGCAACAACAGCAGCAGTTCGTTTCTTCGGAGGGCGTCATTTCTGAACACAGAGCTTTGATCTTCTGTCAACTCAAGGATATGGTGGATATCGTTGAAGAGGAGTTGTTCAAGAAGCACATGCCCTCGGTAACCTATATGAGACTTGATGGCCGTACTGATCCTAGAGAGAGACAGAAGATTGTCAGGAAGTTTAACGAGGATCCCTCGATCGATGTTTTGCTTTTGACTACCAAGGTTGGTGGTTTGGGTCTCAATTTGACCGGTGCAGACACTGTTATTTTTGTGGAGCACGATTGGAATCCTATGAATGATCTTCAGGCCATGGACCGTGCCCATCGTCTCGGACAGAAGAAGGTGGTGAATGTGTACAGATTGATCACTAAATCCACGTTAGAGGAGAAGATCATGGGTTTGCAAAAATTCAAGATGAATATTGCTTCTACCATTGTGAATCAGCAAAATGCTGGTTTGTCGCTGATGGACACGAACCAATTGTTGGATTTGTTCGACGTTGACGAGCAGGCTACGAAGATCGAGAACGGTGATGACAAGAAGGACAAGAAGGTTCCAGATGATTTGATTGGTGGAGGAATCCCATCCGAAGCCGTTGGTGAGCTTACTCAGCTCTGGGACGAATCGCAGTATGAGGATGAGTACAACCTTGACAACTTTATCAAGACCCTTAAGTAAGCGGCTTGCTTACAACAGGCTCACTCTGAGTGGACGCACCTTCCAGTGCGACTTTCTCTATAATGAAGAACTTTTTCTAGAGAAGACGCTCAAGAGTAAAAATACGACGATCATTTCATTTTTTGATGAACTTTTGATGTTCACCGTTTCATTGACGCCTGAGGGGTAGAGGGGTACACCAAGCGAGATGCGATGGAGATGGCGATGCGAGCAGCGGGTCTGATCTATTCTGCAGGATGTGCAAGTTAATGCTAGAAAAAATCTTTGACACACATAGATAGGCTCAAACAAGCAACCCGCAAGCATCCGAGCATGAACGAGAAGGAGGAGCGGGCAATCGAAAAGCTCGGCACTGAAGCACAGACCTCTTTTGGGTATCTTGTATCGGACGAGAAATCAAGCACAACAAGAGCTCCCGAGGCTTTGGATGCGAAGCAGACCAAGTCTCTTGATGTCACGAAATCTTCGCCTAAATGGGTCCACTTCGTTGCCGGCGGTATCGGTGGTATGGTGGGTGCCATCGCTACGTGTCCCTTAGACGTGGTGAAAACCAGACTTCAGTCGGATGTGTACAACCAAAGCTACAACAAAGCACCCAAATCTAGCAATCCTTTGATCAAGGGAGCACAGCATTTCTCCGAGACTTGTGGTGTTATTGGTCAAATATACAAAAACGAAGGTGGCAGAGCGCTCTTCAGAGGTTTGGGTCCAAACTTGGTTGGTGTGATTCCTGCAAGGTCCATCAACTTTTTCACCTACGGCGCTACTAAGGAGTTTGTTTCGAAGAACTTCAACAACGGCAATGAAGCAACCTGGATCCATCTTGTTGCCGGTATCAACGCTGGTTTTGTCACGTCGACAGCAACCAACCCAATCTGGATGATCAAGACTAGACTACAACTTGACAAGACAAAAGGCAAGCACTACAAGAACTCGTGGGACTGCCTTCGATACATTCTTAAAACTGAGGGATTCACCAGTTTGTACAAGGGTTTGAGTGCATCCTATCTCGGTGGTATTGAGTCCACTATACAATGGGTCTTGTACGAACAGATGAAGCTGTTCTTGAACCGCAAGTCCTTGGAGAGACACGGTCTCGACCAGTCAAAAAAGAGCACGAGCGACCACATTTACGAGTGGTGTGCCCGTTCAGGTGCTGCCGGTGCAGCCAAATTCTTCGCTTCGCTCATGACATACCCGCATGAAGTTGTTCGTACTAGATTGAGACAGGCTCCTTTGGAGGCCACAGGAAAGCCAAAGTATACCGGGCTTGTCCAGTGTTTCCGCTTGATCATCAAGGAAGAAGGATTCGTCAGTATGTACGGAGGCTTGACTCCACACTTGCTCCGGACGGTGCCCAACTCGATCATCATGTTCGGCACCTGGGAGCTAGTGGTGCGCTTCTTGTCGCTGAGCTAGTTTTACGATGTTGTTTGGTTTAGGATTAGGGTGGGTAACGGTCTTGAGGACCCTAGCATAACTTAGCTTGTATATATTTTTCATGCATGGACGTCTTCACTCGACTCGTAGTCTTTTGGAGGTGTGGTCATCGTCTGACTCCGAACTATATCCGCCATCACTATCATGATCGAGGTTACTGGGAACAACTGGTTTCGGTTTTGGTTTCGGTTTAGAAGCTGCTTTTTTCTCAGGCTCCGGAGCTTTTTCAACCTTGATGTTCTGAGGACTTTTGTAAAACTGAGGAGCGTCGCCTTCAGGCATTGTGATGCCCAACTCCTGGATCAAAGGGTCTGGAGCGTATCTTGTCTTCTGGCGTAGAGGTCCAGTCAAATTGGGATATCGGTTACCTTGTTCGTCCAACGGAACTTTACCTAGAGGGTTCAATTCCGGGTTGAAGTATATGCTGTCTTTTCCCCAAAGCCGTCTTTGGTCCTTCTCCTGTTTTGCTTTCTTCTGCTTCTGCTGGTCCAAGAAGCCATCGAGCTTATCGCTGTGGAGCTTGTTCTTTCTGATGAACTGCCAGTCCTCTTTGAGCAGCTTCAATCGTTTTTCATCGTTCTTGTCTTTCTCGAGTCGTTCAATCTGGAAGTAGAGCCGTATCGGGTCTATTTTCGTGAGCTTCTCGAGCTTATGCTGGTGTTTCTGTCTCTGCTGGATCTTCTGCTTCAGTTTGACCTCATTCTGGCGCACCTCCTTGGCCAAGCTATAATTTGACCGAATCATGCTGTGGGAGGTTTGAAGGTGGGGGATTTTTGGTTGGATGAGGTAATTAGTGGGAGAAGTTGAGGTGTTGATTGGAGTTAATGTAGATGGATTGCGCGTAATGGGTGCAAATTGTAGATGTGACAGTGCAGGCGAGTGGTTTCTGAAATCTGCAGTTGGGGGAGGCTAACAAAAAGGTGAAATAGGAATATAAGGTTAGAATGTTCATTTTTTGAAGATCGTGAAATGATAGGGTTAGTGATCTGTCTTTGGAGTATGGTAGGGTATCACCATGCTGATCGGTGCACTTCTTATAGAGACAGTGTTATCAGGTAGAGCATATAATCTACAGCTCTATACTTTGCCATCTCCAAGTCTACCCCTCACCTTTCCTACTCGATTACTTTTCATATAGACTTGATTAAAAAATAAAAATTTTGCTTCACTGACCATTTCATGGTACCAGCCTTCCAGATGGCTTCCTTCCTTGTCAACGGTTTCGCAGCCATTAATCCATCAGTTCACAACTCACCGATTGGCCAAAAACTGACCATGAAGCAACAGACCAGTTCAAAGAATGCCTCCTCCACTCAAAAAAACCAAACAAAACTCCACGAAACCAAACTCCAAACAACTTCTCCCTTACCTTTTAGCAGCTATCCACCACTACCACCATTCGCACTCCTACATCAACACTACCAACTACTCCATCTTCCAACCCCAAAACCATGAACAAACTACAAAAACAGCCCCAACAGCGGCCCAACCCGCAGCCCCAAGTCAACTCGCAGATCCCCGCAGAGGCCCTAGAACTCATCAGAAACAGACTCAGCCAGGTCCACCAGCTGCTTCGGAAACTAGCAGACCAAATCAACCTCCACAACCGCAACCCAGCCAAGGTAAAGCTCCCGTCTTATCTGAACCTCCAGCTGCAGTTCCAGGTGCTTATCACGCAGCTCCAGACGATAGCGGCGAGGTTGGACTCGAATGACGAGGTTCTCAAGGCCACCAACGTGTATCCACTTCCTGCTTTTCCTACCACACAACAGGAGGGGCTTGTGACCACGTTGCTTCGAAAGAAGCCGCTTCCCGAGGTGGACGAGTGGATTGACGCTGCAATTGCCGAAAGCGATCAGTTCAAGTTGCCTATTCACACGGACGACGATTTCGCTGAATGGTGCTATGCGAAGGTGAAGGAGCTCGAGGACGAGTTTACGTTTGAGGGGTTTCATTCGGAGAAGGAGTTGGAGTTTATGGAGACGGAGGAGGGCCAGAAGAGCGAGAAGGCCCGGAAGGATGCCGAGGAGGAGAAGGAGAAGCTTGCCAGTGAGATTAGCGGAGGAAAAACGCCCATGTCACCGAATGTGGTGCTCCGCTTCATGAGCCGTGGTGTTCTACAGTAAGGCGACGCTTTGATATTTGATCAAAAATCCGACAAAGTGACGAATCCACCAAAATTATCTTATCTAGGTTGGAGCTCAGCCAATCATTACAATGAAAGCATGCTATAACCTCTCAATTATGTCACTGCTACACCGACAACCACGCTTCAATGCACATTCAATGCATTCCGTTCAACGCATTTAAGTCAATGCATTATGAGACGGCACTCAACTATACAGACCTCTTCGGTCACTTAAATACACCGCCAAAGTCAAACATCGCAGGCAACACCATCCCCCGCCTGTATTCACCCTCCCCTATCTATAAATACACCTTCATCTATTCGCCACTGGGCCCTTCATCCGCTAGGCCGCCTCGCCTGCCGTCTCCGGATGGGTATAGAAGTCGTAGAAGTACATCACGGCAAAGACGAAGAAAGCGGCCGAACCACCCAAGGTGACGTTTCTCATAGAAATTCTCGTGGCCAAGAGCTGGCCGCCGATACACGCGGCAGCCGTGCAAATGCCGTGGCCAACCACAGCACCCAAAATGACAAACCAGTAGTCCAGACCAGCAGCCATGGCAATGGTGGCAATCTGGGACCGGTCACCCCACTCACCAAGGAAGGTCATGACAAAGACTTGGATCCAGACGGGCGAAAGAATGAAAGAAGCCAAGTTCTCAAGCTGGAGGCCAAACTCCTGATACCACTTCTTCGGGCTGCTCTTGACAGGCTCTATGTTGTCACCGCCGCCTTCCAAGTTGTCCATCTGGTGGTTCATGTGCGACGAGGCGAGCTCTTCCTCCACCTCTGCAAGCTCCTCGTCCACGCCTGCTTCCTTGGACATGGAGAGACCCTCCCTCAACAACTTGACACCGAAGATCACAAAAAGCACCGAGGCCAAAAACTGCGTGACCCTCTGCGAGATAAGGGTGGGCAACGCGTGGCCCACGATGCCCGAGAGCACGGTCATGACGGCCAAGGAGGAGAAGGCCGAGGAGAAGACGACGAGCTTCAGGTTTTTCATGGCCATGAGTGCAGCAATGAGAAACGTCTTGTCACCGATTTCACTAACAGCGATCATCGACACCGCCATGTAGAAGCTAGCCATGTTGTCGTTGTGCTCCTCTGCGTTTTCTGAAGGCACCGTGCCTTTTGGTTCGTTGTCCTCGGGCTTCAACGGCTGTACCCCTAGTCTAGGAGCAGCCTTGTAGGACAGGATCTCGTTGTTTTCGTCGTCAAGGGCAATGTTAGGAGCAGTGCCTGAACGAGGCAGTGCTGCCGCAAACACCATCATGGTACTCAAGGCAGCCACGGTCCATTGAGATGTCCACTTCATGGTTCCTGAGAAGAGTGGATATGGATATGCTCGGAGTTTTCAAATGAGCGCGCTGATACCGAAGGATGTCTCCACCTATGCAGTCGGGCAAAGCAGGAAGGGTAGGAAATGAAATAAATCCAGGAAAAAGGTAGACCTGCTTTTCGTTTCTATTGTGTAGTCGGATCGGCCGTTGGACTATTTCGGCGCGGTAGATAAGCGGTGTAGACGGAGGAGCTGTGTGCAGGCTGGACAAAGAGGTTCCCGGAGTAGAACGGCGATAAAAACGGGGTGAAACGTAGACGATAGGTTTTTGGATGAACGGCTTTTGGATATTTCGGAACCACGAAAGGAGGCGGCAGCCGTGGCATCACGTGGAGAGCTGGTCGGTCCGCAGTTTCCCGAGGTGCATCGCGTATACTGCCAACTCGCTTATGTGAGCCCCTATTTGGTGGTTAGGGGCCATGGAGTGGTCAATGGGTTGGAGGGATTTGGGGTTGAAGATTTGGAGAGCTGTGGGGGATTGGGCAAGTTAGGGGGTAGTTATGTCGTTAGAAGATGGAGCGATGAGGTGGAAGTGGAAAGTGAAAAATGGGAGATTGACGGCGTTCACGACGATCCAGTGTATGTCAATTTAAATGCAATTTGTGGTTTTGAGTAAATGCCCGGAAACTGTAGCCGGGTTGCAGTGTTGCAGTTCGTACGTCTTCACTGTTCGGTTTCGCAGCCATTCGATGCGGCATCCCGAGGACGTCATCGCAAAGGGCAATAAGTCCGACGACCCTTACGTAATTCTCCAATCGGGGTTTTTGAAATGGGGATATTTCGATTTGTGGAAATCTTCGGTGAAAACTTCGGATGGCAGGTCGGTTCGCTTCTTCACCTCTCAGTGCCCAGTCCTTGGCAATGGAAAAAGTGCACCAGACAGCCGAAATCAGCCAATGTGTCAGAGCCCATTTTCAAAGCTGACAATCGATATTTTTAGCGCAAACTTAAAATCAAAGCTAATTGGCAGCCTTTCATCACTGGGTGCCAGCACGTGCCGTGTGTCACGCGCCGGTATCAACATCGCTTATCGGTCCTAGGCATTACGCCTCCATGGCTGCAAGGGTCTTTTCCAGATTCAACTCCAAATCAGCTCTTGCGGAGCGGTTCCAGCAAATCCTCGATGAAAAAATCTCATCGGCTCCCTCCTCAATCATAGATCAGGACCCAAAGCTCCGACAGCTATATGCCCAGTATTCCAAGGACAGTGCTGAAAAACAGTATCAGCAGAAGTACCAGAAGGAGTTGGCGTATGTGAAGAGTGAAAATCTTCTTCGAACAAAAGAAGCTCGTGAACTTGCCGATACCATAACCAACCCGCCATGGAAAGGAACAGAGAGGGTTGAAGATACGGCCCTTCGTATGCTAGTGGATAGTGCACCAAAGGCAAAAGCCATGCCTCGGCAAAAGACAATCATCACGCCACCTGTTCCCACAAAAGAACGAGTTGCAAACGCCAGAGAGTCCAGCTTGGATTATAAGGTTTCGAAATTCAAGACACCCGAGGAA